AGCTGTCTGAGGGGCTGTCATGGGGTTATTTGCCCATTGCCCTCTGCCAGCTCTTCACATCCTCTGCACAGGGATGTTTGGGGCCCCAGGAGAGTGATCACAGCTCTCTGCACCTTGCAGGTGGTGAAGTGGGCGCTGAAGAAGCTTGAATTGACCAAGTACGCTGACAAGCCTGCCAGCACCTACAGCGGAGGCAACAAGAGGAAGCTGTCCACAGCCATCGCTTTGATTGGATACCCAGCCTTCATCTTTCTGGTGCGCCACGGCCCCCTGGCACCCTGTGACATGGGGTCGTCATCCCACTCCCAAAAGCCCCACTCTCCCACTCGGTTCCATACCCCTGGCTGTGGACCAGGCTAGCGTGCAGCTATCCCGGGTGAAACAGTGCCCTGGGGAGGGGCTTCCTGTCCCATGGGCTTTGCCACGAGCATTCCAAGCTGGGGAGCAGGGAGGCAGAGCTGTGCCCGTGCAATGGGAAGGGAGTTGCAGGGTTTCCCCTGAGAGCTGGCTTGTCTGAGGGTGCCATATGTCCCGCAGGATGAGCCTACTACAGGGATGGACCCCAAGGCACGGCGCTTCCTCTGGAACCTCATCCTGGATGTCATCAAGACAGGCCGCTCCGTTGTGCTCACATCCCACAGGTCCGAGGGCTTTAGGCAACACCTGCAGTGCCTCCAGGCATCTCATGCACTATGGCGAATGGTGGGGGGGAGAGAGGCTGTTTGGCCTCTGGGGGACAGCATATGGCAAAGGGCATAGGAGTGGAGAGAGCCTGGGTCACCCTGCTGCTGCCTCCCAGCACTGGTGGTGGTGGGCCTGGTGCATCAGGTGAAGGCCTGGGAATCTCGGCTCCCTGTGTGCCACAGCCTGCAGCTGCTTGCTGGCTGCCTATGCCGCAAGTCTCCAGGCTCAGGCCTGCCCTCTCTCCCCAGCATGGAGGAATGCGAGGCGCTCTGTACCCGTCTGGCCATCATGGTGAATGGGCGGCTGAAATGTCTTGGCAGCATCCAGCACCTGAAGAACAGGTAAGAGCCTGGGGGGGTCCAGCAACCTGCCGGGAGGTGCCAATTGCCAACTGGCAGGGTGATGGCATGGCATCCACCCCGAGCTTACAGCTTTTTGTGCAGGTGCTTTAGAGGGTGGGCAGGGGGAGCGGGGCAGTCCTGGTGGGAGCAGTCACTGCATCCCCAGCAGGCAGGTGGCCGTGGGGTTGGTCTTTCCCCACAGAGATGCGGGTGAGATGGTAGGGCCTCATGAAAACCCATCCCTTTGCAGGTTTGGTGATGGCTACATGATCACAGTGCGCACAAAGTCCAGCCTCAACGTCAAGGAGGTGGTGAGGTTCTTCAACCGCAACTTCCCTGAGGCCATCCTCAAGGTAACGTCCCAGCAGTGGCAGTGCTGCCTCTGCCAGCCCATGCCGTTGTGGAAGCAGACTTCATCCCCCAAGGGACTTCATCTTCCCTTCAGCTAGGGGGATGTGGGTGATGCGACACAGTTGTGGGGAGTGAGTGCTCCAATGTGTCCTCGGTGACTTTGCAGGAGAGGCACCACACTAAGGCCCAGTACCAGCTCAAATCGGACCAGATCTCGCTGGCACAGGTCTTCAGCAAGATGGAGCAGGTGGTGGATGTGCTGGGCATTGAGGACTACTCCGTCAGCCAGACCACCCTGGACAACGTGAGGCTGGGAATGGCACGAGCAGCTGGGTGCTCATGCTGAGGGAGGGTGGCAGTGTCCATGTGCCTGCCAGAAGCCTTCAGGGCAGGAGCGAGTGCTTGGCTGGGAACGTGGGGGCACATGGAGGCTGGGTCACAGCAGTAGAGGTGCCAGGTGAGGGGCAGCCCCGGGGCAGGGCTCTCACCCTTTTTCCTTCCAGGTGTTTGTGAATTTTGCCAAGAAGCAAAGCGACAACCTGGAGCAGCAAGAGACGAGCCCCAGCTGTGCCCTGCAGTCCCCCTGGGAGCGAGTGCTGAGCCTGCTGCGCCCGCGGGCTGCGCCCACAGAGCTGCGGGCCCTGGTAGTGGAGGAGCAGGAGGACCTGGAGACAGATGATGAAGGCCTCATCAGCTTTGAGGAGGAGAGGGTGAGAGGGAGCCCCAGCATCTCAGTGTCCCCACTGTCCATTCTGTCCTTGTCATGGGGCTCCAGCATCATACCTGGGCCCTCATCCTGGGAAATCAGGGCCAGACAGGGGCGAGACCTGAGGGTGCTTACCAGGGGAGGAGGGGTCTGGGGGCTCCCCCAGCTCCTGGGCAGAGTGCCTCCCCCTGAGCACTGACATCTGTGCATCCCCAGGCTCAGCTGTCGTTCAACACGGACACACTGTGCTGAGGAGCTGAGGAGGAGCCACATCCCTGGGCTGTGATGCCATTGAACACTTTTTGCCTTTCCCCTCCCTTCGCCCCTGTGGTGTGGATGCAGCTGGCATGGGGATGTGGATGGCCGCCTCCTCCCGCCCTGCTGCTGGAGAGGACGTGGCGGGTGCAGCACCAGCCCTGATGGACCCTGCAAGCCACCACCCCAGCCCTCCTTGTCCCGTTCAGCTCCAGGGCTGTGTCCACATGCCACACCTGTGGCTGCCAGGTCACCAGGCCGGTGCTTGCCACGAACAGACTGTGAAGAGAAGGATGTGATGCCAGTGCCACCAGTCCCTCACGTCCCAGGGCGGGGAGGAGGCCATTGAGAGCGGTGCCTTCGGACAGCCATGTTGCACCCGCCCCAGGGACCCCTGATTATGGGAATGCCCCTGTTCCGTCCCAACCCAGGCCTGGCCCTGGTGTGATCAGAGGAAGGACTGCTGCTTTCTCCTTGTTGCCATCGCTTGCTGGGCTTGGTGCTGGCCATGGCATCGCAGGGGCTCAGTGGCTCAGCACGGCAGGGACCGGAGCTCTGGTGCTTCACCCTCGTTTGATCACTGCTGCCGGTGCTGCTGCCAGGACCTTGCTGTGCCCGCACCCCTGTGAACCCCCAGCTCACTGCTGTGTCCCAGGCTGCTCCTGCCTGGGGCTGGTGCTGGGCCCACTCTGCCTTGCCTTCCCCGGCTTGCTCTGTGCACTTGGTGCCATCCCTGGGGCAGGGCACCACCACCCACACCAAGAGGCACGTGGTGGGGTAGAGGGGTATTTCACAGGGTATTTCACATGCTGACACCAGCTGTTTCTCCCCTCTGCCCCCAACTGCGTCCTCCAGCCCCCTGCCTGCTGCTAGCCCCTGCTTTCCATGCCCCACAGCAGGCAAAGTGCAGCGCTGCAGCTGTGCCCCCATTCTGCTGTCACCCATCCTGTTCTCTGTGTCCATGGCCCAGTGCAGGAGTGTTGGTTCACTGGGGGTACTGAAAAGGAGCTGCTGCACCCAGGATTGTTTCTGAGCCTGGAAGCAACCTCGAGGGGGTGAGGGCAGGGCGAGCCCACCTGGGCACCGGTCAGTGCAGGGCAGTGGTACTCGAGCTGTTGGGCAGGGAAGGACGGCAGCTGGCAGCGGCGCTGTGCCCATCCGTGTGCAGCGCCACCCTCAGGGCGGCAGCTCCCCTCCTTTCTGCAGAGGGTCCTGCCACCTCCTCACCCACGGGGGGCCGTGCCCAGCACCCCCAGACTGCAGCTTTTCAGCGGCCCACAGCCGTGCCCAAAGCAGGGTGACTGCTGAGCCTGCTGCTAACCTGGCCGTCGCTCTGCACCCCAGGGCTCCCACCCTCCCGAGGTGGCCGTGCCCTGCTGCCCGCGCTGTGATGCCTGTGCCCCCTCCTGCCCAGCTGCAGTGAGGCGGCTCCGGCAGCCCGGGCTCGCTGCGATGTGGGCAGTGCTGTGGGGGTACGGACGAGGGTGCTGCTGCCTCTGCTCAAGGACGGAGCCGAGGTGGGAGCGGTGCCACTTTGCCCTCTGCTGCGCCCACAGCCCGCCGGTCCAGTGTGCCACTACTAGAAATTGTGATACAATATACAGTATTTTCAATAGGGGAAAAACTGGGGTGGGGAGATAAGCTCTATTTTCAGATTTTTCAGACCATATATTTTTTACGGCATACTGGAAACTGGCCGGTCCCTGGGTGGTGCAGGGGGCAAGGACGGGCGCTGGGGGAGCAGCGAACTGTGGGTTCGCCCTTTGCCGACAGGGAAAGGAGAGACCGTGTCACCTGCAGGTGTGACCTGGGAGGGGGGACAGCTCAGCCCCCTCCGTGCACGGCGCCCTGCCCTGCTACAGAGCTGTACTTTTCCCACAGTTGCCCTGCTGTTGCGCCTCTGGGGCTACTCGTGCAAGGAGACACCGCCACCCCCAGCCCAGCACTCCCACCCGGTGCCGTCCCGCTGTCCTTGGGTGCTCGGCAAAGCCGTTGTGCCCCTCGCAGGGTGCCCAGCAGAGCCTGGGGGCCGCGTGCCCTCCCTGCTCCTGGTGCGGGAGGACCGTGCAGAAAGGTGCCCCACGGCAGCGGGGCTGGGGCAGCGCGTTGCCCAGGGCGGGGTGCCCGCTGCCTTAACACTGTTTGCTTTCTTGAGTTCGGCCCCGCTTCCCAGCTCGCCTCCCTCCGCACCGCCGCAGGAGCAGCTCCTGTGCCATGCGCGGCCCCGAGCGCGGGGCACCCCGGTGGGTGGGGGTGCTCCGAAGGAGCCTGTACATTGCTAGCAAAAAAAAAAAAAAAAAGGAAAAAAAAATGAAATGTGAAAATAATGATTGTTTTAAATAAAAAATAACTGAAGCCAGCAAGGCTGGGTAACGAGCGGCAGGCAGGGGGTGGAAATGCCAACGCTGCAGGACGGGGCCGGGCAGGAGGTGAGGAGCGGCTCAGTGACTTGGGAAGGGCGGGGGCCGCAGGGGCACGGCGCTGGGGGCATCGCCCGGAGCCCGTGCGCGGCTGGCGGGGGGGCACGGAGCGCCGCGGGCACAGCAGCCCCCGGGCAGAGCCGCCCTTTGCCGCTCCGCTGCGGTCGTGGGGCCCCGCGACGGGGCGGCCCCTCCGTGCCGTGGGGCCACGCGTGGGTGGGAGCGGGAGCACCCCGGGGAGGAATGTGGGTTGGGAGTGGCCGCAGCTCCGGCACGGGCTTGCGGCACAGTCAGCGCTCAGCCGCCGCCCAGCATGGACGAGAAGCCCGAGATCCAGCTCTTCGTCAAGGTGAGGACCCGCACGGGGCCGCGGGTCGCGGCTGCCGCTGCCTGCGAGTGAGGTCGCCAACGTTGCCGTCAGCGTCCGATCGCTGCCACGGCCGCCCCGGGGGCTGCATCGGAGAGCGGCGGCTGAGCTCTGCCTTTGCCCGCAGGCGAGCGAGGACGGGGAGAGCGTGGGGCACTGCCCCTTCTGCCAGCGGCTCTTCATGGTGCTGCTGCTCAAAGGAGCGCCCTTCACCCTCACCACCGTGGACACGAAGAGGTGAGCGGTGCTCCGCGACGCGCTGCCGGCCTGGGGGCGTGGGGTGGGACAGCCCTGCTCCGCGCACCGGCCCGGGGGGTGCGGGGAGGTCTCACTACGTGGGGAAGGGGCTGAGGACACTTGTTGTACCCCCTGGCTGTCCACCGTTCCCTAAGGGAGGGCGGCGGACGCTTCTCGGGCGGAGCTGCCACGGCGCACACGGGGCAGGAGCAGCCGCCGTGGAACGCCTCATCCTTTTGCCCGGAACAGGTCGCGGTGCGCTGCAGCGGGCGTCAGCAGCTTCCTCTCTCCTGCAGGGCACTGGATGTGCTAAAGGATTTCGCGCCCGGCGCTCAGCTGCCCGTTCTGCTCTACAACGGAGACTCCAAGACCGATACAGTCACCATCGAGGACTTCCTGGAGGCCAGGCTGGCCCCCCCCGCGTCAGTGGCTGGCACTGCCCTGAGAAGGGCTAAAGAGGGGTGGAGACGCTGAGGAAGGGGCGGGGGTGGCAGCTTCCAGCCGTGCTGCCTCCTTCCCCAGCTATGCCCATGTCCCCGCAGGTTCCCCAGCCTGGTCCCGCGGTACAAGGAGTCAAGGCTGGCTGGAAACGACATCTTCCACAAGTTCTCCACCTTCATCAAGAACCCAGTGCCTGCTCAGGATGAGGGTGAGGAGCTGGGCGGCAGGTTGTGCCCTTCCGTGCCGTGTGGGGCAGCGGCAGCCAGGGCCAGGCGAGAACGGTGCAGGCGCAGTGCCGGCAGAGCAGGGGCTGGAGGCTGCGTGCTGCTCTGACTGCACACTGCTGCCGCCCCACAGCGCTGCAGCGGAACCTGCTGAAGGCTCTGCTGAAGCTGGATGAGTACCTGAGCACACCCCTGGAGCATGAGCTGGCCCGAGAGCCCCACCTCCGCACCTCCCAGCGCCGCTTCCTCGACGGCGACCAGCTCACGTTGGCTGACTGCAACCTGCTGCCCAAGCTCAACATCGTGCAGGTGTGTGGCTGTCCCCACTGCGCACCTTCTTTCCTTGCCTTGTCTCCCTGGTGCTGCCTGCCCCGTGCTCTCACCTTCTCTTGGGTATTCACCTGCCACCTGCCTGCAGCAACTTCCCTTTCCCACATGCCATCCCCTGGCTCGCTGTGCCCCCAGATGCCTGGCACCCCACAGCTCCCGCCCAGCACAGCGCTTTCCCAGACCCCACTCCCTCTGCATCCTGCCCCTCCTCCATCCTGCGCTATGCCAGCGATGTCCTGTTGCCCCTGGCTCCCACCAGTGAGCATCACCAGCTCCCGGCTGCGGACCCCGGCTCACGGCAGGCACACAGCAATGGGCTGTTTCTGCCCGCAGATTGTCTGCCAGCATTACCGCCGCTTCGGCATCCCCAAGGACCTGCAGGCTGTGTGGCGCTACCTTAACAACGCTGCTGAAACCAAGGAGTTCAAGTACACCTGTCCCAGCAGTGAGGAGATCGTGCAGGCCTACCGCTCCGTCGTCCGGTCCCCGCAGTGAGCCGGGCAGACGCCCAGGCGGGCACAGGGCCGGGCACCAGCTCAGCACCTGCCTGGTCCTGCTGCTCCCACCGCCATCCTGCCCGCACGCGCTTGGGGAGGGCAGAGCATCGGCACCCAAATTTCCCCAGCTGGCACCCAAGGTGCCTCACACTGAGCCTGCCAATGCTTTCTTGCTTCTCGTGTCACCCTCTCTGCTTGGCCGGGACACCCTCGACCCACCCTGTGGTCCCTCAAGCTTTAAGGATGGGTACAGCCATGGGCACCGCTTGAAACAGAACTGGGTGATGCAGAGGGAACACTGGGGGCTGGGGAAGAAAACCTGCCTGGAGGGCAGTGCACTGCAGTGGGAATCCCTGCAGCCGCCCACCACACGAGCTGCCCTAAGCAGGGCTGTGGCCAGGACAGCTGGCACTGCAGTGTCTGTGAGCAGCAGCACAGGGTGAGGGGAACAGGCACAGGTGTGGCAAAGCCCTGGGAATGGAGCTGGAGGGGACACTGCAGCACCCTGCCCTGTCACCACTGCCCTGGCAAGGGGAGCAGAGGGCAATGTCCCACCAGGACTTGCTGCTAGGAAGCTCTCTGGAGCAGATTTGGGACAGGGATGGGGATGAAATGGGGAAAGTCCAAGCCATGCATCAGAGCACTTGGAAATCAATAAAGGCTTTGCAAGTGAGACAGGAGTGTGTCTGCAGTGACCTGCTGCTGTAGCTGCCCCCTTTGCATGGCTTGGCTCTTTGGGAGGGTGGAGAGGCTCTCACCAGTCACCCACTCGTCACTGGCACAAAACTGGCGAGAAAGCGCACTCTTTGGAGCCTTTGAGCTTCCAGATTGAGCTGAAATTGGCTGCTGAGCAATAGAAGTGTAGAATGAAATGACATACACACTGTCACGCTGGCCGGGTACCCAGACCTGCTGGCCAAAACCAGAAATGAGCTTTACTGGCAATAAGTTAAGCACAGACAACCTTTAAAAAATATCTTTTGATGCTCTTTTAAAAACCCCAGCAACTCATAGCAAGTGGGGCAGAGGGGTGGCACCTGTCAGCAGGGAAAAGCTGCAGGGCAAAAAGCCACCACTTTGTCACCGCTGCCTCGCCTGCCCCCAGAGTGTGCTCCAGCACAGCCCAGGAGCTGCTGCCCACCGGGACCAGCCGGTGCCGCCTGCCCCAGGCAACCCAGCCCTGCATGCATCACACCTGCAGAGCAGCATGGTGCAGGCAGACCTCAGTGGCCACACGTGGATGGGATCCTGCTGTTGGGAGGATGGAACAGCGCAGGTCATGAGTCTTCAAAGTCCACTCCAGATGGAACAGACTTGCTAGAAAAGGATACAGGGAGTCACACCAGGGTGTGCACCCTGCAGAGCACAGCCCAGCAGATCTCAGGCCCAGCACCGGGCTGTGGAGCAGCACATACCTTTTGAAGCCAGGGTTAATGAGGGACTCTCCCGGGATCTTTCTCTTTGCTGGCAAAGCAGAGCCAGCAGCCCTGTTCTTTCTGGGGCTCGGGTCTGCCTCAGACGGGAGGAGGGACAGCGAAAGCAAGAGGTCAGCGGGGGGCTCTGGCAGCCCTGCAGGCCCTTCTGAGCCCGGAGAGCTCCTATGGCAGCTACAGTGGGAGAGGAAGGCCTGGGGGAGCTGCCGGGGCCGTCAGACTGGGAGAGCATCAGTGCCAGCCCTCCCCTGCAGCTGGGCACACTGCCTGCCCGCTGATGCACCGCACACCTCGGGAGCTGCCGCGCTGAGCCGGGCCCCTCCTGGGCCAGGGAGGGCACTGACAGCAGTGCGGGCAGCAGCCACGGCAGAGGAGGCTCAGGACGCTGGGGGGCTCCCAGTCCCCGCAGCCTCCTAGAGGATGAGAAAGCGAACAAATGTGCAGCACAGCCCCCAGAACCGCTCACCTGGCAGGATGGGCTGCTGGCTCTGGAGGGCGTTCTTCTCGGGGCTGTAGCTCAGCGTGCCCAGCACTGTGTGACAGGAGCAGGGGTCACAGCTCACGCCTGCGTCTTCCTAGCACTTCCCTGCCCGGCTATTCCCTGCCCTGCACGGCCATACGGCTCCCTCCTCCCGCACACCTCCACGCGGGGACCTCCCCACCAGGAAGGCACTTCTGCGCACGGAGGTGTCCCGAGAACACGGCTGTGCTGCTGCACGCAGAGCGTGGCTTCGCGCGAGGGATCTCCTGCCCGAGGTTCTCCGCACAGCGCCGCCCGTGGGCACACGGCATCCGCAGCAGGAGAGACGGATGCTGTAAAGACCCCCACCCCCTCTCGCGGTGCCCCTCCGACGGCCGCGAGCCGCCCGCCCCTCTCCCCCCGCCCCGTCCCGCGGCCGCACCTTCCAAGCGTTCCTCCAGGTCCCGGACGCGGGCGGCCATGGCGAACAGCAGCGCCTGGAGCTGCGGCCGCGCCTCGGCAGCGGGCAGCCGGGGAAGCAGCAGCGCCTCCTGCCCCTCCCGCAGCCGCAGCGTGGCCGCCCCGTCCCGCAGCCCCAGAGATACGGCCCCGCGGCCCAGCGCTGCCCTGCTGGGATGGAGCGCAGTGAGCCGGGACCCCCGCCGGGGGATGGACGGACGTACGGACGGACGGACGGACGGAAGTCCCTGGTCCCCCTCACCCGCCGGGCGCCCACCTGAGCTCCGCGAAGCCGTCCTCCGGCGAATCCCCGCCGAGCCGCGTGGCCCACATCTCCAGCGCGTCGGTCACACTGCGGGGCAGAAGTTCAGGCCGGGGCTCATCGCCCCCCACCCCGCTCCGCCCCACCCGGCACTCACTAGACGGTGGCGGCCGAGCCGGGGCCGGACGCGGGGCGGCAGTAGCAGAGGTAACGGTCCGCACCGTCCCGCAGAACTCCGAACGGCCCCGACGGCTCCGCCATGGCAGTGCCGGAAGGGGCGGCGCGGGCGGCGCAGGCGGTGCTGAGGGAACTGCCGGCCCCGTGATGGTGCACCTCGGGCTGCGGCGGGTGGAGGACAGCGTGGCCGCCAAACACCCGGTGCGTGCGGGGCGGCGAGGCCGGGGGGAGCGGGGCGGATGGGGCCGGTGTCCCCGCGCTGACGCTGTCTCCGCAGGCGCTGCAGCAGTACGCGGCGTGCCAGGCCCACGCCTTCATGAAGGGCATCGGCACCTTCCTGGCAGGTACGGCCGCGGAGAGACGCGGCGGGCGCGGCTGCCCGGTGCTAATTGCTCCCCGGCCCTGACGGCGCCGTGGCCGGGACCGCCCGGCTCGCTGTTTGGGCAGGCGGCGGCGCTGCTTTTGCCGTGCAGAAGCTGGTGAACAAGAGGCTGCCGTACGCGCTGCAGTGGAACCTGCTGCTGTCTGTGGGTGAGTGCCCCGCGCCGACCCCCCGGCCCCGCTCCCTGCCCGGTGACAGCGCGGGGCCCCGCGGGGAGCGCAGCCCGAGCTGCGGGAGCGGAGCCGCGTTTGCGGTTGTCGGCCGATCGTCCTCCTGCTCCCCAGTGCCCGGGGGGATCGGGTGCTGCTCACGGGCAGTTGCACAGCCCGCGTTAGAGGGAGGACACCCGCGTGCCGGTCTGTCCAGCGGCAGGGTCCTTGGCCAGCTATATGGTGACCAGAGTGGAGACGCAGAAATGCTCGGACTTCTGGATTTACTTGGAGACGGGCACATCCCCGCAGGAGCACCGCACGGCTGATGGAGCGCCTCAGCCTGCAGGTGGATTTTGTGTCTCTCCCACGGCTCTCCCTGGGCTTGGCTTGGTTCTTCCCTGCTGCAGCTCTTTGCCGTTCATGTCTCATAACTAAGCTGGCTGCTGGCTGCGTCCTTGTCACAATCCTACATGTCCTGCAGTGACACCCTCCAGTTGAGGAGCCCCCTTCTGCGGAGCAGCAGCAGCAGCTCCCCGGGGTTGCAGCAGTTCAGGGCTGTCAGTGCTCCTTCCTGCCCTGGCCCAGTGCCCCGCAGTGCTCTGTGCCCATTGCCTTCCCAGCAGCAACCTGGTACAGCCGCTGCCCGCTGGCCTGCCTGTTTTCTGTATTCACAAGAGCTGGGGCTTTTTGTTTGCTGGAGTAGGAATAGGGCTGGGGATGAGCTAGCAAACCGTGCTTGTGCTTGAGCCACTGCTCAATGGAAAACACCGGGCTGGAGCTGGGGGTTCCTGTGGCTGCCTCTTGCTGTCCCTGTTGGCATCGTGCTGCTGAAGCTCAGTAAAGCTGAAGAGGTATTAAACACTTCCCTGGGGCTCTGTGCTTCTCTGCTTGCCCCTGCCAAACATGCTGGGATCATCTGGGGTCCAAGGAGCTTGCTCTTATCTGTTGCAGACAATCTGTTCGGCCTGGAGGATGCAGAGAGAGTGCCACCACCCGTGAGGAGGAACAAATACGGGGACATCGTGGAGTAGCCAGGAGCACGGTGTGCTGTGCCCACATCCTGCTGCTGCCCTCAGCCCTTCTGTCTGCTTGGTGTGCCCCTGCAGTGTGGGACACATCTGCAGTGCTGCTGGGGAGCTCAGGGGAGTCCCCAGCAGTTGTGTGTGAGCACCCAATAAAAGTCCTGTGTTGAATGCACACGCTGTGAAGGAAGTCATGTCTGGCAGTAGGGTGGAGGGAGCTGGTGGCAAACGTCACCTGGACACGTCCCCTCTGCTGTATGTTGAAGCAGAAAAATCTGGTCTCTCTGAGACCACAGGAGTCACAATCCAAGTGTGCTGGGCTGCGAAACATCTCTAGACGTGGATGTGAGGAGGCAGAGCTGCTGCCACACTCTCTGGTCACGGAGCATTGCTGACCACAGTCTCCCTGTGCTCATAACAGCACGATTTGTTTGCTCGCCCAAACGCTGCTGTCCTGAATCTTTTGCAATGCTGTCTGTCCCAAAGGGGGGGAGCAAGGTGTGCGTGCCCAGAGCCGGGCTGAGACACCCTGCTGGCCTCGGGCTCTGCCTCTGGATGCTGTACCCACGGGGAAGGGAATGCTCGAATGCCCAGAGAGACATCCAGGAAGATCTGGAATTTTATGTCTTTTTTTTCTCCCCTAATTGCAACCCTTGAACGAAGCCCGTAGGTTAAGCCGGCAGCTCTGTGTGGATCTGAATCGGTTGCAGGTGAATTTCTCAAATGGGAAAACTGACGGGAAACCCGGGTGCTGCAGCAAGCCGCTTTCTTCCAGCGGGGCGGCAACTGTTCGTCTTCAGAGGGGGAACAGAAGCGCTTCCTTCCGCCTGAGATCCGGGCGCAGTCACTGAGCAGAGCCGCGGGAGGGAGCTGTGTGCTGGGAAAGGGGGAGGCGGGAGGAAACGTCGGAGCATCGTGAGTCGGAATCCTGTTTGCTCCTCCGGGGAGATGGGAAGCAGCTGTCAGAACAGCTGAAGTGAGAAAAGGCTCATTCAGCAGAGCACGGCGCTACAGCAACGCGATGAGAGCAGGGCAGGATGTCAGTCGGTGAGGAAACCGGCGGAGCAGAAATGGTGCTGTGAGAATAGGGAGGGCAGCCAGAAGCTGCTTCTCTCCTGAGGAACGTGGCCGGGCAGCGGGCTGTGAGCAGGTGGGATTGAGGAGCTAGGATGGCCTCTGTGCGGTTGTCCAGGTGGTTCTGTGGGCCTGGCGGCTCAGAGCTGCCTGCCCTGACAAACTGAATTTCTGCAGGCTGCTGTTCTGCCCTGCGTGGCCATCAGAGCCTTTCCTGTGTGCCGCGGGGCGCAGGGACTGCACAGAGCGGAGCTGCCTGCGTGCACCTTTGGGATGGCCGTGTTTGGGAAGCCTGAACTTCTCAGCTAGGCTGCCTGAAACTTCCATTTCCAGGTGGGCATGATACCAGGCTTTAAGCCCAGCCTGGACTCTCTTTGACGATTCTGCAGGCTACAAAGCCATGGCTGTGTCTGAGCACGGGGCAGGCTTGAAGGGAGCAAGCCCTTTGGGTAAAGCTGAGTGTGCAGCTGTGTCCAGGGGAGCCCAACTGTGCCCTTGCACCTGCAGCACAGGCAGCCCTTGTCAGCCTGTTGCTGCCATACCAAC